CAAGCGCGACATTGGAGTGAACCTCGATCGGTCGCTCCCGGGCACTCTGACTTTCGTCGCTTGTGGGTCGTCCAGGTGGGCCTGTGCCTGCATCACCACCACAGTCATCGGCGCTCGCTCGCCCATGGCAACTTCGCATGCTTCCGTCCAATCCTCAGCCGTGGTCACATAGACGATGTGGGCCTCGCCACGTCGATTTTCCAAGTGCTGGACGTACTCATCCGACCCTTTGGCCAGAGCAATGTCTGTAGTCAAAGGATGCGTCCAGTGTGTAGCCTTTGGGAGCCAGCCAGCGTAGGTCCATGACTCTGGCTCCGTCCGGCTATGACTCCATCTGTTTCGCTGCCTCGTGCTCCACCGCGAAGGGCGGCTCCAGTTCCACTGTTGGGTCGCCTCCTGATTGACCTTGGGCTTGTCAGCGGGCTTCGCCGCTTTGTCTCGTCGCTTTTGCTCCTGCTCAAGAACCTTGGTGAGCTCATAAAAGAGATCGATGTCCTCATTCTCGGAGACGCGTCGCATGGCGGCCTTGAGTGACTGTCTCAAGGGTTCCTGTTTGTTGCCATGGTTCTTTGTGCTTCGCTGCTGTACCAATCGTTTCAGTGTCTTGAAAAGATCCTCGGTGTCGTCATCGTCCTGAACAGCTCCACCTTGCAAACGAGGGCGAAGTGGGCGGAGCATGTCGTCCTCCTGGCTACCATGGCATCGGCACGGCCGCTGAGGGAGGTCAGGGGCGCTAGGCCGCGAGGGGCCGGTGCCTGACTCACCTGATCTCGCCTGTATGGGCTCTCCGGCCTCTTGAATTTTCTTTTCTTTCTGCTTCTTCCCGCACTTTGTCTTTTGATGCATCATCTTGTTGTTTCTTCTCGGTTCTCGGGTCCGGTTCCCGCAAATTGCACAAGAGCCTAGCAACCCTGGGCAATCTACTCTATGCTCACTCAACTCCGCTGGACCTGCAGGTGCAACGGTGACTGGGCGATGCAGACCACGCGCTCCTTCCACCAGAAGACGTAGTAGACACCACCACGGCATGCGTCTGGCCCGTAATCTTCTGGACTTTGTCCATTTACGCCGCCTCCCTCCGATCCAAGACGCAGAGAAAGCGCAATGCAGGCTGCAAATCTCCTTGCTGAGACGGTTGAGCCTGCCACGCGTCCATCTCCTCTGAGGCGATGCCGAGGGGCTTGGAACCCCCAAAACTCTCGCTCGCGTCTCCTTGTGCTGTTGGACTGCCACCGACTGTGGCCACCCTCGGTGAAGGCAAAAGGACTTCCGCGGAGTCCTAAGTAACGCTTTCGGCGATCCATGAGCCGACGTGCAGCTCTGAATCGCGATGCAGAGCGCCAGTAAGAGATCGACTGTCGACCCCATGCAATCACTGCCTCGGTGATTCTGGTCCTTACCTGCTTGCTGTGGTCCTTGGCCTGGCCTCGCGAGGAAACCAGCGAGCCAAGCATCGCGATGATGACACACATCACTGCGCCCAATAGGCAGCTCCAGTCCTGAGAGAAAAGACCAGGGTCCCACACCTGGTCGAAGCATGACGTGTTGAAGTGGATGTCTAAGTCATCTGTCAGCTGGGACGGCGAATGCTCAGTTGTCGTTATGCTCGAAGCCTCTGTCAACGGCGCTCTCCCAGGTGAAGAGCCCATGTGGCGCACTTGGAACCACCGTCTGCCGCGCCAACCATCATCCGGCATACTCTTTCATTGCAGCACTTCCAAGTCTCAACACGAGGCTTCCGTCAGTGTTTTGGTTCACCGATGGGTTCTCCTCTCTCACCCGCCTTGTGCGACATGGTTATAGCTGCGCAATTGAAGAGATTTGGCGACGCACTTTCACCCGAGCTTTACTTAGCTTGAGATATGTTGACAACCGCCTTTGGATCTCGGAAAGAAGGTTTGAGCAGCTCCCGGGCATTCGATTACTGCTCAACAATCACTTCTACGGCGGGGACATCATTTTAGAAGATGGACCTGCCTATGATTTCGTGGGGTTCTCCCTTGACTTTGAGCAGCGCCGCATTCTTTACAATCGGGCGTGCCAGATCTCAGACCTCCCCAGTACTAAGTCTGCCGCCTCTGAACATGTTTTACTCAGCGGGGTACTCGCCAGGGCGCACACGATTAAGAAGTGCTCCTACCCCCGAGCACAAGCTCTCATGGATTTTACGTAGGTACCTGTGGGAACTCGCAGAGCAACGGGGCCTTCCCATCAATTCTTTTGCCTTCAAGGCAAAGTTTTGGAAGTTCACCTGACTTGAGACTCGCGCCCACAGAAAAAACCGTGGCGCACCAGGTCTGTGCAAATAGTCACATATATGTCAGCAGCGTGTTTTCATTTGTTGTTTTGCAGGCTCTGCTTTGGCTTAAGGTAGTCAACATGTCGTCGTCGGAGCCAGCCGATGAGCCCAACCCTCCAATGAGCCCAAATACACGCAGGCTGGAAATCACTCGAGCACTACGCGAGGTTCTTGGTGGAGATGCCTCTGATGAAGAAAATTCGGCATCCCAGGGTTCGTCCACTTCCAGTGTTCTCAGTAATGCCGAAATTCGTGACATGCTCGCGAACTTCATTGAGCTGACGACGAGGGACATCACCGACCTGCAGCGACGAGTTCAAGAACTCGAGAACTCAACTTCCCGATGACTTCAGACACTACCTTTCGGCAAGGAAGGATAAAAGCTTATGTCAGCTTTCCATGTGTTGTCTGACCATGACCTGAATTAGGGTTGAAGTGCTAAGAGTTGTTACTGTACCGCAGCCAATTTTGTTGCAGAGACCCCACACAGTCCACACCATGTCGGATCGTTCGCGATCTCCCGTGCCGCGTGTCAACATTCAGGAGTCCCAGTGGCGATGGGCCTGGCACACCGACGGCCAACATTGGTGGTGGCAGTGGTACGCCAGATGTATAGGAAAAAAGCCCTGGCAACAAAGCGTGTGTATGTGTAAACGCCTGTACATGGCGACTGCAGAACCATTTCATCAATGCAGGGGGCCTGAGGCTCACAGACAGGGCTCAGGCCAACGAAGACACCTGTCTGTCGAGTGTGATATGATCCTGGGACGCTGGGATCACGTACCTGCAGCTTTCATTTGTGTGGCAACCACGCCAAGCCAAGAACCTGGAACAACCAAGTGAAACTTTTGTGAGTGTGTCTTTGTCAAGTTTGGTTCGGTCTGTCTTCCTTTGCATCAGTTCGTGTCACGCCAAAGTGTGTGTGTGTGTGTGTGTGTTCGTTCGTTCTTTGCTGCAGGAGGTGCAGGTCAAGGCGCAGAAGGCGGGACGCCTCTCAGCTGGTGTCCTCGGGTATCTTGTTATTGCAGCGGTCCGGGAGGCAAAGACAATTGTGAAAGCCATGCCGGTGGCAGCGCTCAAGAGCCAGGTATAGGGGGT